GGAAACACTGTCAGGTAGGCTGCAGGTGTCTCGTCCTGTGGCTCAGACATCCATTTCTGAATGAGCCTCTGAACGGAGACTAATTTGAACAGAAGGGTTTAGATTTGTCCCCCGTGTCTGAGCAGCTCTTAAGTAATTTGTGTAAAACTGAAATGACTGCACCCATTCTGTGCACATTGAGGAACAAGGACTCATTTCTACAGTGTACCTGTTCCCCCCACCCGGAATTCCCTGTGAACAAGACAAGCAGCACACAGTCACCCTGGTGTGTCCTGCCTCCCTGCTCGCCCCGACGGCAGTTGTCTTTTGGCTTGAGCTAAAGATTTGTGCTGTAAAGAAGTACCTTTCTCACAAATGTGACTGTATTTGAAGAAAATGGTATACCTTGTGATTGCAGTAATGGCAATTCTTTCCTCTGATTTCTGCACTGTTCTTTTCGCCTCCATCTCCAGAGTAATGAAGGTTAGTCCTCAGTTACTGTGCTCCCACCGACTGACAGATTTTACATTAGCTAAAGATGGATACTAGTTTGGTTTTTAAGCACACGGTATTAGCAAGGAAAAAGGGGAGGGAAGCGTAGGGTAGACATGTTTTGGGGTGGGGGGAGGAGAAAAGGACACTAGAATAATAATTTCAGAAGTGTTACTCCTAAGGGATTTGTTCCTGGGTTGAGAGAGCTTCTCTGGATAAGTTCATTACCTCTTTTTCACTTGGTACGCTCTTGAGAGCAATATTCCAAGCTTGCACAGATTCAAAATGCCAGTATTATGCTTAGAATCAACATGCTGTGGACTTTCATTAGGAAAGAGAAAGAATACGATGTGCAGATATTTAAGGGGAAGTCATACAGGACTGTTTTGAAATTTACAGTATAAAGTATGTTTATAACTTGAGCACTGCAGTCCACTTTACCTAAATACAGAGGCAGAAGATCCATAATACCGCAGACCCAGCAGAGCAGCACTGTTTTGTTTGTTTGCAACACTTTTATTTTTCTCCCATCCAATTTATTTATTTTTTTGTTCAAGTAAAGGACAGTAGTACAGTATTTAACATACAAGATCATGCTGTACCTTTTGGTTCATTCCCTTTTTGCTGCCTGCCAGGGCTAAGCCTGGCTCCCTTCCTTGCCTCCCCACCTCCATGCCACAGCTTAGACTGTGGCACTGGTTGGGCAATCAAGGAACTAAATTCAGGAGGGAGAAAAAAATGCAGTGATAACCAAGGCCCTCTGTTTTCATTTACATTTTCCTCTTAAAACCATTATTATTCTTTTTTAAAACTGACCAAGCTGCGGCATCCACGTTTTAGCACAGATACGATGTCACAGAATGACAGAATCGTTTAGGTTGGATGGGACCTCTGGAGATCATCTAGTCCAACCTCCCTGTTCAAGCAGGGTCACCTAGAGCATATTGCCCAGGATCACATCCATGTCGCTTTATAAGGTATCATTAACAGATACAGACAAGAGCCTTGGAAAGTTTTCTAGGAGTGTACTCTCCAAAAATACCTGGACTTTCTACAGCTGTGCTCATTGCCCCTTTGTGCTCAATCTCCACAAATATTCTGATATGCTTGCGTGTCCTGGCAGGAATTGAACAGTCAATTTTAAGTGACTGTCTGAAAACCTTTTCTTCCAGAAAATTAATTCCTAAGCGTATATATCTGCACAGTAAATCTTGTTTGCAGAGCTGAACTCTTCCGTTCGTGACAGTGAAAAAATTCTGTTCAACCTGTATACAAATCAGAGTTCAACTAGTGCTTACTTGCAGTAAGTTTCTTGCAAGCCTATAGGTTTACGTTTATCATATTAAAAATGAATTAATTTTAAAAACTGGCGAGGTATAAATTGAAGGCTATGTTCAGTTAATAATTTCATTTACTCATTATCCGTGGAACTGTTATTCGAGTTGAGTGAGGCCACATGAGTTGTCTGTAACTGGGGATAAGTGGACTACAGCACGCGGCTTATGGACGAGCGCCTTCTGCCAAGACAACTTGCCTGGCAATACACTGAATCCTTTCAGTCTAGGACTCAGTCTGATGGCAAAACTAGACCCCATCGCATACCAGTGGACCAGGTAAAATGTTTCTTCATTCATTCAGCTTTAAAGCCCTTGCTTCAGCAGCAGATCTTTCTGAGCAGATACATTTCACTGACAGAGAACGTATGGCGCGCTCCTGTAAGCAGCCCTGTCATTGACTGCTCTGTTCCCGAGTGGCTGATGCATTTACTCCGTGCTCCTTTGACTTTTCAGAGACAACGACATTGTCAACACAGCTACCAGGTTGTGTTTGCTCTGCAAACCACCTCATCTGAGCAAAGAGTGCCTCTGCTAAAGCAACACACGTACTACAGGGCAGAGACCCCACAGCAAATAGTAAATTCTGTTTTTCAGTATACAGTAAAGCTAAAAGGTTTAATTGTTCTTATGTGTAACCTATGAAGAAATCCGTGTAACAGAAAAGCAGCCTATAATTGGTAGCAAATGAGTGGGCTTTGGGGAAAATCAATCCAACGCACTAAGACGTTCTCAGTTCCTGAACGAACGATCCTTCCTGCGAGCAGCATGATACACTGGGCGAGTCCCAGGTGCCATAAACCCTCACGGTTTCAGTGAAGCCAATGGAGCTATGACAGTTTATGCTACTTCAACAGTACCCTGATTGTGCTTACAACTTTTTAAGGTGGCAGTCAGCATTTCAAAAGTCTCCTTCTTTCTAAACAGTACTGTAGCTAAGTAAACAAGTTTTCTAGTTAGCTAGAAGTGAATGTCATATTTAACTTAAAATCCTTCAGAACTGATGTGCCTGAAAGTAAAAAAAAAAAAAAAACTCTGAAATTTTAATTTTATCTTAAGAAATGGTATGCTGCTGAGTAAAGGATGCATTCATGGCTAGGACTTGAACCAAACTCTGTTAAGAGAGGAAATTACCACCATTTTGCTATCCTGACAAAATGAAATCTATGAGAATAGTAATTCCTGTGCATAAAAATCAAGAGTTTCAGCATGTATTTAACATGCCAGTTTGTTGTGGAACATCTTAAGAGTAATAGAGTAGATCACTAGTACTGCATTAAATCAGCTAGTTCTCTTGTATGTGTAAGTCACAGCAGTATATGAAAAACCCCTAGTCAAATCAAAGAAAACCTCATTAATGTTATTGCTTCCTCACTTCTAAAATAATTCTGAAAGATCTGGAAACAGATATACATAAGAAGCACTGCTTTTCATAGAGTAGCTATGAACAGACCAGGGTCCAAGCCTTCAACGCTGATCTGACAAGAACTTCTGGGAGTTATTTCCCTGTACAGCTCAGACCACTCATTTACAAAATACAGATAATATTATAAAAGGGTAATGTGAAATTAGTAATCAGTTAAGAGCCATAACACAATCTTCATAGTCTTATGTAAGCACTAAATATCATTACTATTCAACAAATTCTGTAAAATAACAAGCGAAAAGGATATAACTTTATATTTCCGTTATGTGCCATTTTGAAGAGAGTAGCACAGAACATGCAATATTCATCTTGATGATATGTGTCATTTAGTAGCAGAAACAGACACTTCATAGTGGCATTGCTTATGTCAGTGATATGCAAGGGAAAAAAAGTGCATTTACGGAAAATACAAGACAATTCCTAAACCTGATTGACTTTTCTACATTTAATCTTTTAAAAGCTGCAAAACAGGAAATCTAGTCCCAAATTATAGAAGGAAAATATGTTTTTAAATGATCTCAGACATAATTCAAAGTTTACCTCTACGTCAGTTTGTCAGGGGATAGAATTTGCGAACAAATACCAATATAACAATACATTTGCTATCAGCTTTTCTTTTATAAGAAAGTTTTCAGTTAAACAAAAATTGCACAGTTCTCACAAAATTGTCCAGACATTTTCACAATTACGTTACACCATCTATAGAGTTTAAGCAATTCTAGATAATTTCACAGCTCAACTTCTTATCTCTTTATAGTTCTGCTACTGTGGCTCCATTCTTTTCCATGTGAAGAAACTTAATTAATATTTTATATCCTTTCTAAATTGCGAAGACAATTTATCGTAACAGTACGGAAATACCACATACACATTGTCCCCTGCCAACAGAGAATCCTCAACAGCTGCTTATTGCTCATTTGCAAAACATAAGAGCAATGGAATTCCATTACTTAGAGAAACTGCCTGTTCCATGATATCCTTGGCAACAAACACAGCACTTATCTTTTTGAACAATAGACTCTCAAAGTTTCTCCAGTCTACAAAAATAAAAGTCAGCAAAGAATACTTTTTCTTAACTGTAAAATGCTAAACAGTGGAAACTGACTCACAATCCATCAGCTGCGTTTTGTTTCATGAAAACTAACCTAACCTCTCTCAAAAAAATTGCTCACTGCAGCTTATGAAAAACATTTCAAGCAACCATCTCTTTCACAGGAAGGACTTTTTATTGAGGTCAAGACTTTGGCAAAATGAGAAGAAATTCAGACTGGAGTCTGAATAACACAAGGAATTACAAACAACATTAAGGGAGTTACTTAGACAGGTTTATAATAAACCATACAAAAATTACAGAACAGAATTTTTTCTCACTGTTCAAAACATTTTTTATCCTTGGTCTTAGAAACCAAGATAAATAAAATCATGGTTTACACTACAGATATTTCACATATGGTTTTAACTAAATAACTTACAAGTTTCCAATAGCTTTAAAAAGAAATAGCTACAGCATACCAGATAGATGCTAGCTCCTCAGAAAGTCAGGACACGCACATACCATCCATAATCTGGTTTCTATATTTAGGTAAGAACTATACCTAAAGCCAGAAAGGTCAGCACTGAATCAAGTCAAGCATATTTTAACAGACATGTCTTCTAGACAGTGTTTACCATGGTACATTTCTCCTAAACCCACACTAAACATCATGCCATTTGAAGACTTGACATGGAACTCACACTATTAAAAGAGACTGGATAGTGTATTCACATACCTCAATAATCCTGTCATGAATTTGTAGCCCTCCTTCCTTAGCAGCAGGCCCAGTGTCAACTATTTTCGATACAAAAATTCCTTCACTAGACAAACCATCCTGATTGTCCTTTAAGGATGAAAAGAAAAATGTATTATTGTATCTTGAACTAACTCTAATTTGCTCTAAGCTAAATCTTGTCCATGTCACAACAGTGCATGTAATTTGAAAGAAATATTCCTAGTGATGTCTTAACGTTACTGGTTTCGGTGGGGTTACTATGTGCTCATGAAAGCACCCGACACTCCCTTTTTAAAAAGTTATACAACTATGAATGGACTTTCATTAGCTATATTAACTGCATAATAATCATTTTTCTCTGACTTTAGGCAAGCTCAGTAGTAACTGTCGTTATAATTATTCTTAATGTAAAATTCAGTGAGATGGCAGCCTGCTTGCATATCAAACATAAGAACAACAATACATTTTTATTTTTAGTTGCACAGCTCTTCCTCTGGAGGCTTAAAAATAAAACTGTGGCAAACAACTTACAGCTAACAAGGTACCTTCATATTTCTGTGTGTTGCCTAATCAGCTTCTTTCAGTGCTGAATCATGCCTCAGAAGCCTAACTGAAAACTGGTTAATTATAAGGAAAGTATAATCTTCAAGTCAATTTACTAGGAATGAATTGTAATTAATGTCACATCTCTGAGAGCCCCAAAACTAGTTCTGACTACTTTCTAAATTACTAGGACAAGTTCAAATCTACCCCTTGATCTAATTAAAGCCATATGCAACAGCTCCAGCCAACAAGCATCAAGCAAAAATACATTAGTAAGCGTATGGTGGAGGAAACATCTGCTGAAATCACAAAATTCAAAAGTAGTTTTTAAAAAGTTTTTTTAAAGTTACATCCCTTCACCTGCACAGAGGGCTGCTTAATCTCTGGTGGAAAGGAGAGTAAGTGACATTTCTTAATGAACTCTAAAGGGCCCGAAGCTGTGGGCTCTTAGCTCACGCGACATCTTCAAAGGAGTATGGTTTGAGAAACAGGTACCAACGATTTTACCATTTGGAAGTGACACTGCACCTATGTAATTTTAGTGTTGCTGCTAGCTGGGATCGTGTGTGAGAATAAATACGTTGAGAGAGAAAAGACAGTATAATTAGTAGCCATCTGATAGAAAACTAAGTATAAGATTTGCTCTGAAAGAATCCCAACAGAACCAAGTACTTGTCAGCAGCATTTTTCCTCTAAGTGTTGACCTACATGCTTTTCCCAACTGGAAAGGGCTAACATATTTTAACAATTAACATACCACGCATGGTCGGCCACCAATAATATTAAATCCAAGAGAGCCAGAGTCACGATGAAGGACAAGAGTCAGTGCTTTAGTTTCTTCACCCTACAAAGAACAGAGAAAAGTATTCAAAACATTTGTGTATTGGCAAGTGTGAGGATATATAATACTTCTATCTAGGTTTGCTGGGTTTGTTTGTTGGAGTTTTTTCATGAAACTTAGAGAAAAATGTGTAGAACAAATTTTCATGTACGCTCCCAACTCAGCAGCTCCCAGTTTGTCACATCCCAGCTGCCCCATTGTTCTCCAGCAGTGCTTCCCCGAAAAATCCAGCCATTAAGATTTATGCATCTTTTTATTGAGATCTACAGTGACACATTTAACAGCAACAGAAGATATTTGTATGTAATATGGTTCCTGCAGCTACTTGACCTAGTCATATGTGATGTGTTATGTAAAATACTCCATCTTTCCAATAGTCAAATTCTTGATTTTTCAATGCTTGAGGGTGACTGAGTCTTAGGACTGCATTTTTATGTTATTTCTCCCTATTGCAAGCTACGCTATATTGTTTTAAGCAGTATCAAACATGAAGTGTTACAAAACAGCAATTGTCTTGTGAGTTTTAGAGACCAGCATTGAACAAAATTGCTATATATTTTGCAAAAGGCCTAGGATGCCAATCGCTATTCAGAGTGCCTGTTGTAAAGCGATTCTAAACAATTTTGTTCTTCAGAATCTTAACTCTAGCAAAAACTCTCTGATTAGACAACAAATGTACAACAGAGAAAGACAAGAAAGACTTCTTGTAATATTTAAGGGACTGTGCAAACATGACCTGTTATCCTGTCCTTTTACTCGGGCTTGTTCCTAAGTGCAGATAATGATATGAGCTTATATAAAAATGTCCTTTGTGACACTGTGATGCTACTTAGTTGTCTTTAATAGTGCCTGTACTTAACATTGTCTCAGTGTAAATTAATAGAACTAAATCCTCAAAATATACTAATTTCAATCTCAATCAAGTGGCTGTTATTAATATACAACACACTATGAAAAGGCATTTGAGTAACAAATCTTTTGAGAAACAACAGGATAGTCAGAACGGTGTTGTACATCTGCAGATACGTAGCTCTCTCCAAGATCTTTTTTTTTTGTTTTGTTTTATCCAAAGGGTGAAAAAGTTATGAACACAAAAAAGTTGGAGGAAGTTATCTTACAAGTCTGGTTTTCATAACCAATTAATGACAAAAATTACAGCAGTTACATTGTAATTCAATGCAGATGTTTTTAGTTTGTCCATTTTTCTTCTAATATGTCAATTTGAAGTTGTCAGTCAAATATTAATGTCTATTAAACTTGTAAAAAATGTTGAAATGATCCTATATTACTTAATTACTCTTACAGATTCAAGGGTGATAGCAGAGCAAAATTCCCTGCCAGTGTAAACTGGCAGAACTCCACAGACCACATGCTCCACAAACATACTCCACCTGAAAATTTGGTTTATGATTTTCTTGTCAGTTTGTGATCGTTATCTTTCCTGCAGGTCCCACAATAAGTAGGCTTGGACCTGACACAGAAAAACATGAGTCAGATCTCCCTAATTTTATTTGAACTTGCCTATGCTCAGCATCAGTAAGAATCAGGTGCCCGGAGGAGGACTGGAAAACTAAGTAGAAGTTATTTCCCTGCAAGTCTTCAAACCCACACCTCAGACAGTATTTCAAGGAGCAGATTTCCAGCCCTGTCAGACCACTTCTAGGGACTAATAATTCAGCATTTGAAAGGCAAGCACATGCTACTGTCACTGTTTACTTCCCCTGTTATCCCTTTTTAAGAAGGCAAATCAATTAGAACAATCAAGAGTCAATTACTACATTGCTCTCAAGACACTTTTGGTAATTAAAGTTAAATGTTTTCATTAAAACCTCCTAATGCAGCTAAAAGTTTGTGTGTTTATACCTAGCGGAACCAGTTTTAAAGCAGGTAGGTTTGGAAGACTCAAAAGTTGTGGGAAAAGAACCCTAATGCAGTGTTTTTCATGAGTATTCCTGAAAAACGTCCCTGGGGGTTTTAAAGAAACTCTCAGTCAGCTCTGATGGATGTGTACGTTGTCTCCATCTCCTCTGTGGCAGCGGAGCAGTGTCTCAGAGCGCAGCTCTAAACGACGTTGCAGAGTGATAATTCCACCACGTGGGCTAAAATACCTCAGCGCAAGGGAGGCGGCGGTGTGTTGCTTTAATACTTTGTTACTTTTGCAGCTTCGCATCTCAATCTTAGCAATTTCAGTCGTTTTTGCTTCTTAGTAAGCCACGAGGAAAATGATTCTTGCAGAGCTCTGCCTTTCTTTTCTCTTCTTACATGTCTAGCGTTCCAGTGAAACAATCATTAAACAGTGAGGTAACCCTGGAAATGCTGCGGCCACCATCCAGCCCTGCCCCGTCATCTGGTTCTGCAGCAAACCTGATGGTTACTGGCATGCTGTATTCCCGCAGCTGAATAAAACGCTTAAACATAATTCTTGAAATTACTGTACTTCCCAGCTGAATAATGTGGAGCTAATAGACTGGCTTTCGCTTTATATAGTGGAGGACTCCAACTTCTTTGGTAATACTGTGGCTAAGAAGGTCTGTCTTAGTTACAGGAAGCGCTTCAGCTCCTTATTTATTGACCAAAAGGCTGCCAGGACTAGCCCAACTCATCTTGTTTGGGGGACAGTCGGAAAAAAAATATAATCTTGTTTTACGGAACTTCATTTGGCTTTTATAAAATGAAAATGTGGATGTTATCACCTCCACAGAGGCACTAAACTTAAAAGTCCTAAATACCAGATCATCAACTGGTTTCCACATCTTCCTCATGTTTACTGAAAGTCTGTCACTGCCTTCGGTAGTCAGTATAGCAAAAGGCCATAGGACTTTAAAATTCTAAAGGTCTTGGTTCAGCATGTCTTAAAGCCTTTATTCACCTTTTAGAGCCTGACATTTGTACAGTCTAAAATGTCATCCTCAAAGCTGACGTTACCATGCATGGCTTTCAGACTGCGTTTTGTAGCAGCTCAGACTGTTCTGCTGTCTCTAGTGCCACGGCTAGACTTATAGATAAATTGATTTTCATCCCCAGTTGCTCATTTCTTCCCAAAGGACTTGGGTGGCTGGGTACATAAAGGAATGAGCAGAGCATCTTATCAATAGGTGTGAACAGTGGTATGTTTCCCAAGGTTAAGCATTGTTTGAATAGTATGAGGTTTTTCTTGTTTATTCAGACTTGGATGTTTCAGGATTGACATGCCTGATCACGGAAAATACTAATTTTGAATATGACACAGTACCTTCCCTACCACTCCCTCCTCAAGCTTGCCACAATAAGCCTCACCTCTCCCCACTAAGGAATAAATAGTTTTTCTCTGAATACACTTTCAGACTTATCTTTTGGAATAAGCACAGAGCAGACATCCAGTAAATACACAGTAAAATGAAAGTGTTCCCTCAGTGACAGAGAGAATGGGGAAGAACACATAGGGAAAACACAGCTGAAATCATTTAAGGCACATCTGTCTGTTGAAGGGACTTAAAAAATTGTGAGATATTTACAGATGACTTTGTGTGTGTGTGTGTGTGTGCGTGTGTAAAAAATACAAATATTTGTGTATGTCTTCCTTCAATATAGTTATGGCAGTTATAAAACTCACTTCAGAAATGGGAAAGTCGAAGCACAGAAAAGCTATACGATTTATCCAGTATCACAAAGGATGTCTATGCTAGGGCAAAGCCAGACCTAGGTCTCCACAGTTGCTCAACCAGTGCCCTAACCTAAAGACCATGAATTCAGGTCTTTGAACAGCTTTAGCGCGGCAAATGGCCTGATGTCCATCACCGTCATATTTCCCCTTTAACTAAGCATTTAAACAGAACTATGAGTAGACATTTCTGCTGTTATGACTACAGGGTATGTTATCTCATTTATTCTAGATTGGCTCTCCATCTGTAGTGACAAGCAGCCATCCGGCAAAGAAGTCAGAAGACCTCTTCTCTTAACCAATAGAGAACCCAGAACACCCTACAGTAAGTTTTGGAATAACCACATTTAACCTATGAACCCAGTTCATTAGTGCTAGGCCTATTTGTGCTTTAACACAGACTAAACAATCACAGCTTCTAACAAAATACTTGAAGTATGAATAATGTTTATAATAAAATAACGATAGCAATGACACAGCATGCTTTGAGTAAGCAGTGAATTTTGAAGTTGCAATCATACTGAAAAATCAATTATTTTGTATCATCATACATGTAATCCAGGTGTTCAGGGACCTAATCTTTAGCCAAGTATGTATGCCCTGCTGAGTGATTATAATCTGCATCCTGTACTGCACAGTCTATGCTTGGATCTCTGAGAAAATAACCCCAGAGTAAAAACTTGGATGCAAGCCACATTCCCAAATTGGTAAAGCATCCCCTGCACTAGGTGATTACCAAGAATCTTAAAAAAAAAAAACCAACAACAACAACAACAAAAAACCCCACACTCTCTAGCACACAAAGATGCAAGTTTCCTGATTGTACTTCTTTGGAAGCTGGGCAGACTAAAGCTGTTAGCGTTGGAAAGCTGCCCAAAATGCTGTGAAAGACATGTAATTGATTGACCACTAGACCACAAGTCTGTGGTGACATGACACCTCTCAGCTTTCTTCAGATTAGGCGCTGCTTCAGAAAACTGTATAACAGCCTTTTGTAACAAGGCTGAAAATGAACACAGTCATCTTGGCCAGCTGTATCCATAAATGTGATAAAAGGGATTGCTGGAAACTATGTACCATGGACATTTACAACTATTTGTAGTAGCACCTTTCATGCTAAGAGCAGTTCACAACACTTTACAGAGCTAAATAATGCAAAAGCAACGTTATCAACCTAGCCAAAAAGAAATGAAGGAGGAGCAGTATGAGAACAGAGGTGTGCTGTTTGGATCAGATGAGATGAGGAGGTAGAGATACAGTGAGATTATTTCAGCTAGCAAGACAGTATGGAGGGCTTTCCCATCAACAACAACGTGAGAGGAGAGCAGAGGCAGCTCTGTGCCAAGTAAGTTGTGGGAGCAGCAAGCTCTGCTATGCGCCGTTGTGAAGTAAAGGGAGCTGCAGGAAGAGGAGGACTGACCCGAATCTTGACACAAACGTGAAGTCTATGATTTAAGTTTTACTGAGTTCTTAACGTGCATCACTATCAGATAGTATCGCCAGAAGTTCAAGTGGTACATTCGGTACTGAAATACTATTTCTGTTTTGAGTCAGCAGAACACAGTGGGGTGTTTTGCCCTGAAGTTATAAAAAGAAGAAAAAAAGGGGGAGGGACAAGAGAATTTAATATGAAGTTTTGTTTTCTGTATATAGCCTTCTGCGCTTCGCTGTTACCAAAGGTATCCGTACAGATGTTTGACAGTTTTGAATACTGCTGTGTCTGTGGATGCGGTAGCACATTCCAGGTCACGGGGAAGACTTTGAATGTCTTCATTTAAAAGATAATTGGCTTCTAGCGCTTCCCTCACTGGGGTGCCTCATTCCAATTAAAATTTTGGGATTGTTGTTGCTCTGGCTTTTGATTCTGGTCTTTTCATAAATAGCCTATTTCTGACTGGCTGAAATCAAGTTAAATTTTCTCCCCCTACGTTGAGCTTTTAAAGAATCCGATGTAGTTGGCTCTGGAAAAACGCTAGTGCACAGTAGATGCCTTATATTTGGGCGTCGATGTTACAAAAAAGATGGCCGAGCTAATGAAATAGCTGGTGAGGTGTCCAAGTTGCGTAACAGTGACTCCTGAAGACTGCCTTTCAGAGGAAGCCATGTTCTGGGACAGCTAAAGGGTCTGGAAAGCATCGGGTCACAACACCCTGCTGCAGCTCACTCTGTTTAGTGTCACTCCTGGGAGGTGACTTCTGGTGGCTTAATACCATCCCCAGTCCTGGAAGTTTCCCCTTTTGTTGTTTCTTTGGGAGAAACAGAGGCAAAAAAATACCGCGACCTGGGCATTTTGATTCGTGAGTTGCCGTAGCGGATCCTGGTTATCAGACTGATGGTCCCGTTAGACAATATGCGCATAGAAACCAGTAAACCCTAGAAATTAAAGGCCACAAAACCCAGCTGTTTAAAGCGATTGGGGGAGCGGGTTCCTCAGCACAACTACCGCTCAGAGACAAAGCCGCCTCCCGGGCGGGCACGGCCTGGAGCCCCC